GACTTGTGTAATTTCTCGAGCAAGTCCTGTGCAGCGCTGCCGATGACTTCCATAACCCGAATGAAGCACGTTGAGGGGCGTGCTCATGCTCGTGCTCTTGCTGTCGCTCTGGTTGATGTGTGCGTGCGCTCTTCCGGGAGAAGTGCCCATACAAGGAATTCCGCCATTTATGAGGTCATACAGGGCTATACTTGAAAAAAACTTTCTGAAACTTATACGAACCCTGAAGCAGTGTATTTGGCACAGAAATACTCCATCATACGTCCAACTAGTTTTTTGAGACTTTGGTCATGTTTAGCATGAGAATCCAACACTTTAGCAGTGTAAATAAGTCAGAATGCATGAAATAGCATTAGACATCTCCTTTAAATAGCTGGCAAAGGCCAAGATGGTCAATGAGTGAGCTGACTTGCCTCGAGTTTTGAGTTTGTTCTGCTATAACCTATTGCCCTCACATGGTACAAACAAGAATGCCACACACTTGAAAGAGAGAGAAAGAGAATTCAGCATGTGCAATGCTCAATGATCACTCTCAGATGTGTGGTTGTGGCCTGTGGATGTCCGTCAAGGGTACAGTGGGTATGGTTTAGGACACAACGTTCCTTGCCTGGGCAGCTGGTGATGTGATGGAAAATTGTTTCCACTTCTTCTCATCTTTGACGAGGAGAGTGTAATCACTTCTATCTGCTCTCTGGCTCAACCTCATTCTCTCGCCAAAACCGAGACTCTCCCTCACCATCTTTCACTGCTATCTCGCTATCGGGATGGATGCGTGTGAGCTGAAGGACAGCAGCTCCCCTCATCTAGTTGAATTGGCTCTTTGAAGTTATCAACCACATGTTTCTATTTAGTGTAGTCCCCCTACACAATCCATGTTTGCACACAGGCATTTATCCACAAAGCCCACATGTCATTCTTCATATCCTCCCAGTGTAAATATTTAGGTTTATCTCCACTCCTCCCCTCCTCTTTTTCCATACAGCACATCTTCCCAGCTCTTCCTTATATATAATGTGTGCCTACTATGGTCTTTCCAGTGTACAGTCCAGCTCTCCTATTGGAAAGCTCATGTATACTTTTAGTTCACCCAAAAATTATAATCCTGTCAAAATCTGTATGACTTTCTTTTTGCTGTGGAACACAAATTACTATATTTTGAAGAGTATTTCAACTGTTTCAACTACTCTTGCCAAAACAATGACAGTCAGTGGAGTCTAAAACAACACTGGACCCATTTGACTTTCACTGTAGAGACAAAAAACAGACATTTTTCAGAATATCATCTTTTGTGTTCTGCAAAAGATGTGCAATACCCAACTATCTATACTTATATTTATTATATGTATGTTATTGATTTAATATAAAATTTTTCTGTCCAGATTTCCTTGCATAATTTGTATATAGCACATCTGTACATACAATATACTGTCTATTGTCTTGTATTGTTTTTACATATTTATTTTACATACTCTCATGGTTGTAAATATTTTACATTTTGGCGAATTGGTGGTGAATTCTTATGAATTCAAATCAGTTATTTGTTTTCGTACTGCTTTGTATGTGTTTGTTTCTTCTGCTTACACCCCAGTGATGGTTATGTTTAGGGCTGGGCCATAATGCTTTGTTTTTTTTCATTTTTTTCATACGAATCAAAACGTATTAATTCATATGAAAACACCAACTCGTAAAATAATTGATTTCTTATGAGATCGGGTTTGAATTTTAATTTTTGGCTAAACTCTTTGGGTAAAATCTACTGAAACATACTTCTAAATAATACAGTAGCTTAATCACTCCAATTAATGGTTTGCCATCATTGTTTAACATATGCAACACATCTGCATATAAATATTTAATGGGACAAGCATTAAGAAGGTTTATGATTTGATGTCTGGTGTTGAACAACCCACCATAGCATTTTAGCCAGGGTTAAGTGCAGTGTATAACCTTGAAAACTGTTTTGAAGATGCTCTTTCTAAATTTTGTAACTATATTCTTATATTTGAAATGTTTGTATTCACTCTCCATCGAGCCAGTTGAAGATGATTTCTTATAAATTGATTTTTGTCTTATAAAACGCAACTGTTGTTTTGAAGCAGAGTTCTCGGAGGACATCCGATGTGAATATGAATATATGTGAATATATTTCTAGGCATGTGAAGCATATTTGATATCCATCACCTAGAGATGATTTGTTGGTTTAACTAAGCTCGCAAGGAAAGTCCTTATCAGGGGCCAAGCAAACAGGCCTGTCTGAACTCCACTTGTATTTGGGGAATTTACTAGCTGAGACGATAAACCTTCTGTTACTTTCTTTGTTCAAAAGACACAGAGACAAAAGCTTTAATTAGTTCAGTGCTGCTAGAAAACGGCTTTGTTATTGAATTCTGGAGGCCAAAATCCTTGTCTTTCAAGTTGGAAATGTTTAATTAGGTTGCCTATGAATAAGCATCAGTGTTGAAGTATGCGTGTTTGTGCGTGTGTTTCGGTGCATGTTTACTATTTCGTTTAATGTGGTTGTGACTTGAACACAATGTTTAAAATACACTCACATCAGCTTTTGATGATCACTTTCACTGTTGTTGATCCGATCTGACTCCTGTTCTCTGTTTGTTACTCCACACAATCTTCCAAACGCACATCAGTCTTTGTTTTCCCTTGTAATGCAGTGTCTGCTCAAGATCTCAGTCAGGCACTGAAGTATGACCGGTCCGCCTGCCAGGGGCATAGATTTACTCCAAGGCTTTCTACATAATTGAAAATGTTTTCAGTCTTGCTATGAAAATGCTGAGTCAGAGATTGCCGAGGCTCAGTAGGGCCCATGAGAGAGGAACCAAGGCTAACTCTGCTCTGTGCCCTGAATCCAGAGCTTGAAAACAAGGTAATCCTTCAGGGTGAGGAGGACTGACCTCAAAACTAGCCCTTGCTTGTAAATATCTGGTCGGTCTTTGAGACTTGGAAACATTTCATGGCCTTAATGTGTTATCAGGCTGTGAAGGAAATCTCAGGCGATGCCTAGAGAGTTCTGGGATCCAGATCAATTGGCTGCATCAATAGAGCTTTGGAGCATATTGGAAATCTATTGCAGTGTCTTGCTCTGATCCATAGCTTGAGCTTCAGGTATCAAGAGTAATGAGCAGCGTATTTCACATAGAGTGAATAGAAATTAGTGTCATTTAAAGAGAAATATCAGTTGTCAGTCCTAAAATTTTCTTAAATAATATTGAATATTGTTAAAGATTATCCTAACTAACAAGTAAATGAAAACACCTATGATACAGTGATACTTGCGCATATATTGGCTCATCGTGTTAACACACTTTTAAGGGAAGCATACACTACTGTGTACTTTGTTTTTTTAGCAAGAATGCATTAAAATGATTAAAAAAAAGTCATTTATAAAGTTACAAAAGATTTAAATTTCAAATAAATGCTGTTCTTTTGAACTTTATATTCCTCAAAGGATCCTGAAAAAGCAGCACAACTGTTTTCAACATTGATAATAATAAATACTTTTTGAACAGCAAATCAGCGTATTAGAATGATTTCTGAAGGATCATGTGACACTGAAGACTGGAGTAGTGGCTGCTGAAAATTCAGCTTTGCCGTCACAGGAATAAACTATATTTTAAAATAAATTAAAATAGAAAACAGATATTTTAAATTGTATTAATATTTCACAATATAAATGTGTTTACTGTATTTTTGATCAAATAAATGCAGTCTTGGAGAGCAAGACTTTTAAAAAAGTCTTACCAACCCCAAACATTTGAACGGTGATGTACATTAGTCGGGACAGGAGTGTGTCACACTTAATGCATGTGAGACTAAAGAATGAAAGGTGTTTTAGGTGAGAGAGAGAGAGAGCGCTCAGTTCCCAGATATCCAGGACTTGCTGGGAGGTTAATTGCATTTGTAAAGGGCAGAAAATTAATAGAGTTTAATGTCAGAAGCAGCCAGCTGGTGCATCCCTTTCATGTACGCACGCGCTTATAGAAATTAATAACATATTAATATTACAGTAGGCCTCTCCTTTTCATGTTGTGCTAAAGTGTCTACGTGATTAGTGTTACGCCACTCACGTAGTTGCCAATTAAGCAGGGAATTGTTAAGAGTAATGACATTAATGACTTTAAGAGCTGACAATCATTACTCATTTAAGCCTCGTTGTTTTTAAATCTTCATTCGCTCGATCCCCTGCGGGGAATGAAAATAGATGCAACGGCTGATTTAACATTTTCTGTCATAACAAATTATCACCGCAGAAACCACGCAAGAGCGCCGTTGCAATTGCCGACACTGAAGTTTTTGTTGCCGTCTGGCTTATGTTGTTTTGGCCAAAACTCAACATTAATTCATAGATGAGAGATATAGAGAGAAAGAAGAGAAATAAGGCTAAAGGAATGAACTTTGTTGTATGAAAATGATAGTCAGCGAGAGACAGTATCAGAGGAGGACACCTCTTTAAAAGTTTTGTGACTCATGGAAAATAGCTGTGGCAGCAGTGGTTTCACATTTAAAGGCATTGTGGGTAACTGGTACAGTAACTACAGTGGCCTGAGGTGTAATGAACCGTTTATTCTACCCAATAACCAGTAAATAGTTCTCAGATGCTCAGAATTTTTTTCTAGTTGTGGTTTTGTAATATTTCTCTTATTGTAAACGCACAATGTGTGCATGCGGTGCATGTGCACATTTTTAATTGTCTCAGTCTGTTTCGCGTGTGTTTGGTGGTTGTGGCCACTTTTTAGAGGACAGGTGCTGGTGTGCATGCATGCCTGTGTGTGATCATGTGTGATTATATTGTCATTTCATATTTGAGAAGTGTTTGCCTGTGTGTGTGTGTGTGTGAGAGAGTTAGGAAGACTTGCGTATAAATCAGCACTGGTACAAGCATCTTCTTTAGAGAACACCTCTAATAGTGCCCCACAATTTTTTCCAGGGCACAGTAAATGTCTTATTTCTAATATGAGCTGTTTTTATTTTTTACTTTCTTTTAGAATCTACCACCATTCCTGACACTGCCACGCCTACCCTCCCTCCTCACGAGGAGACAAGTACTGCCCACAGGACACCAGGTAATCAAACAGGGCACCTTACATGAATATATTACTGTAGTGAATGAGATCAGATCTCATTACAGAGTGGAAATCAATAAATTCAATCATATCTATGTGTATTACGAAGACTAGACTAACATGTATTGAGAATATCAAGTAGAGCATGCCATTCTATTCAGTCATGAGTGTTTAGATAAGCAAGCATTTCAGTATATCACACATGCACTCATACACTTTTATTTACATTACTCTGCAGTGTAATTGCAGCCTTGCTTTTTCCCAGAGCTCTAATAACAGATTGCCACCCCTCCAATTGTACACACTGTGTTGATGAGTAGAGGCTCGCAGCATGAACGCTAACATTATGCTAACTAGCATAGCAGCATGCCTTTGGATGGATGGCTGACGGAGGCCTGCTAAATGCTGAGGCACAGTGCTCCATGTAGATGAGGCTGTGCTGGAGTGTGTCAGTGTCTGCATGTTAAAATAGCACCAGCAGCAACAGAACCAGTCAGTGCATATACAGTGAGGCTGGAATCTTTCACATACAGTCAGATAGTAAACTGTCAGGTACAGTGAGACAGGAATCTGTCATGTATCGTGAGGCAAGAATCTGTGCATAAAAAAAAAAAAACATACAAATTTTCATTTACTTTTATTTATATGTTTACATTTTTGGTTTTAATAAATAATATTGAAAATATTGTTTTTGGCCACTGAAAATATTTCTAGATTTTTAAGAAGAAAAAAAGTTCCTACTTTTTCTAAATTTACTTTGCATTGGCAGAGAGAAACTTCATTTTGTACTCTGCATGTCACCAAATGATGCATTCTGTTTTCCATGCCCACCCTACTCTTCCCATTCAAGCCCAAGAAAAAAAATAATCACATGGAAAGCGTTTTTCAAGTGCTCAGCTCGCACAAAAAGCTGAAAACTAGGCCACGCTCACCCTGTGGGCTCTGATCCCAATCTATGTTTCATTAGTTTCTTTTCCTTCTTCTCTCTTATTTGTAAACAGAGCTTTCCAGAGCCATGCCAGGGAATAACCAGGCAGGCCTTCTCTCGACGGTGCAGCTTTTCACAAACACAGAACAGACATTAATGTCGAACAAAGCTACACGGCCAGTCACTCACAATTCTGTGAAGGTTATTTACTGAGCAAAACATTGCTGTTCCCTCTGAGGATGCCATTACTTATTATATTTAAACTATGATCAGCAAAAGTAGGATTAGTTATGAATCAGAATTGATGTGAGCTGTCATAAACACCTTCATCCAGTTGCTCACGTACACACTTCCGCCACAGGCCCCCAGCTTTGGGACTGCTCTTATTAATTAAAGCTGTTCGATGTGTATGCGCCAGCCCTGCGTCGCTGCCAAATCTGTCCCCTGTCTCTCTGCAGAGTTCTTTTTTAAAGCGACTGCATTCCAAACATTCTGAACTGGCATTCTATTTCTCTGGCATTCTGAGTGTGTGCACAGCACAGTTTGCCAAATGGCACACAGCCCAATCCCATTCTCCTCCCTTCTTCACTTTCTATCTCTTTTCTGTTTCTCCTTAACCTGTGATTGTCATTTCAGACCCCTCTACAAGGGTTTCTGGGGAGTTGTGTTAATCATTTTACATATGTAGTCAAAGGGGCTGTAAGCGTTTTTTTAATGAATATCACGCAGGAAATGTTCCTACATGTCAGTTATCACTCAAATAGGTGTCTTGAGATATCAGGATATATTTAGACTGTTGAAAGGTAGGATTTTGGAGAGTTAGTGAAACGGTTAACATCGCTTACAGCACCTCAGAATTAATTTTGTCAAGGATTTGGAGCTCCAGAGTAATTTATTCATATGATATTAATCATACTCAGTCACATGTGTCAGAATTCCATCTGCACCATTGTTATTTATGTGGATATATTTCATTTGTGCCAGTTTCTTTAACTAATCTTTCTTTTTTTCTCTCATTTCAGAACCCTTCGCTGCATTCCCCCCTGAAATGACTGGTAAGTTTTCTGGCATATTGTCATTTCCTGTGCCAATGTTTGTGCTTCCTGCTTGTTGCCTAGTAGCTTGCATCACCTGAAGGGCTTTTGAGAATCATTAAACTTTTGGTTGAGCTTCACACCAGCAGCACATTGGGATTCTGTAGAGACTGTTTCCAATCCCACAACAAAGTTTACGTGAAGTGTGATTCAGTGCCGGTGCAGTTTGTTTTTATTTGTGCATTTTAGTGACATTGGTGACTTTATGTCAAATCATTGCTGTCATGATTATTGTCCTCACCATCATTATTGTCATATGGATATTTGGAGCATGGGCTGTATCCCAGCATGCATCTGCAGCCCCACATCACGTGCTGTGTTATATGGTGTCGATGTCATGCCTAAACATCATCAAATGTGGCCGTAGATTCAGTTGACATGCATGTCTCCCTCTGAAATTTCATTATGATTTCTCACTAAATTCTATAATAATATTCAATAATAATAATAATAATTTGTATTGCATCTTAAATATATAAATTGCTATTCAAGGTGCTTCACAGGTCAGAATATAAAATAAAAAAAATAGACACATCATCTGTCTGTTTCCCTATGGAATTTTTAGAAACTTCTGAGACAAAGTTGATGCAAAACATCAATGAGAACCGTTTTAAAATTATTTCAGCCTCCTGAACTATGATATCGTTCCTTTTGGGTGACATTGCACTGTTATTCTTCATCAAATTTTAAACTATCAAATAAATGCATACATACATACATAAATAAGTTTCTATACTAACAATTTTAAAACACTGTAATGAGAACAGCAAAACTCTGATATCGATGGTACACATCAAGTGTGTGAGCATTGCATTGGCGGTATGTTTGAGCTGCTGTGCTGCTATGGATGTCATGTTTATTCCCCAACAGCTGTATGATTGCAGTCAATCAGATTCAGCTGCAGTGGAATAATCCTCATACACTCCATTTTAAATGATTATGGAGCACACAAGCCCACTAATAACGTATTCCTTTAGTAACTACCTCCCTTTCTTTTAATTGAAGTGGAAATGATTCCCAGTGTAAGTAGATTCATTTTCCCATAGCAGTCAGAATTCCTAGATTAGATGCGTGCTTATGTATAGATGAGAGATAGATGAAATGGAGGGAATAGAAAGAGTGATTGGTGGAGGTTTGTGTGTGTGTACACACATGTGATGGGTGAGCAGTTTTCATGCACTGCTGGGTTGGGTTCATGGAAGACTTTGGCTTGAGGCAGATGAAGCTGGCACAGATCCATGCATGCAAGAAAACAGAACTTCCCCCAGAAAGAAAAACTACAGAGCTCACACACACACTCGCCAATATACTGCATTACAAAGGAACGGCTGAGAGAAGGTGCTGACATCGGTCGGTGTCTTATGGCACTATATGCTTTTATGACCTTTGCTTTTGGTTGCATATGAAATTAGCGCAGATTCCACATAGAATCAGCACAAACTATCTGAGATGTATTATCTGTTCACAACCATAAAATATGTCTGCACTCTTAATGTGATTTAGAAGGACAAAAGTCAGTCCGAACAGTTATCAAGTACCCGTGAAGGGGCCGCGGACAGGCGACGTGCATGTGCATTTGCGTGTCTGTGTTTGTTTTGTTTGTATGCAGCACCAAATCAGAGCACAATCATTCACGTTCAATCCAAGATGGCTTGAAGCTATGCAGTCTGCATGCCTCTCTACCCCAAGCCAACTCTTCTGTGTCTCTCCACCAGGGGGAGCCTCACCTGGCTGGAGCGACCCCACTGTTGACACGACAGTGTCCCTGCAGCCCATGCCCACCTACTGGTATTACGTAATAGCCGGAGGTGGCGCCATTTTCCTCCTGGGCTGTGTCACGTTGGTCATGGTGCTGTGCTGCCACCGCTACCACCTGGCGACCAAGAAGAGCCAGCACTCGGTGTCCTACCAGAGCACGTACACGGGACAGTACACAGGCGGCGGCGGCCCCGGGGGTCTCTCCGGACCTGGGGTGGAGCCGATGCTAACGATTAGGTTAGAAAAGCAAGAACCCTGCTCCCAGTGTTGAGATGACACCAATGAACCACTTCCTCCCGCTGTTTCAAGAGGAAGTCTAGGATAAGGTAAAGAAGATGTAGACACGTACAAGCACCTGAGTTGACGAGTTTTCTGTGACTCTTATGTGGAGCTCCAGTGCTGTGAACGAGGAGATCTGCTGTGCCGAAGGGACATCCAGCCAAAATTCTGACTGGCAAGGACCCCTTTTCCCCTTCTGTCTCTCTCTCTCTCTCTGTATGTGTGGATGGGAAACTTACTGTGAAAAGCTCTAATCTCCTGTTCATGACCAATCCTATTGTTCAGTCAAGAGAACTCGGCAGCATTGCCAAACTCTGAGGAGAGCCTGCAAACAGCGATGGGAGGGAGGCATTGGTACATAAAAGGAAAACCAGGAAACTTTTCCTTGCATGAGTGCCGCATCTCATGTGCACATAGGAACACTTGAGGCTTGAGGAGTTTGACAAGAAGTTTCAAAGAGACAAAAGCATGAACGTCGAACACTCTGGGACACATGTTCTTGCTAGAGAATCTGTGTCTCTTCACAGGATGTGTGTGGAAGGGTTAGGTACCACTGAATTGTTTATCTCCTGGTACCTCTACAAAGTGCTTAAGTTATGAGGACTGGTCCTTTTATCTTTCTTTAAGAGCTTGAGTAGAGCAATGGATTCGGTCCGCTCCAGTGATCTGTTTGGTCTCCTTTGACTATTGAATGAAGCATCTTAAAAGCATTTTGAAGGCTGTTTGTTTTCTGAGAGTTCATTTTGAGTATCTGTCAATATGTGTCTATATATAAACTCTTCTTTTCTGAAAGTCACTGGGGCTTTGGCACTTACAGTACGTCTGAAGAGATACAGTATGTTTTTTGCCTATATGCAAAGGTCACATGACCCCGCCTTAGCCAGCCTACTCCTCTGATTGGCCGACTGACTGACACAACATTGGCCTTAAGACGCTTCAGTGGCATTGGGCTAGTTCAAGCCGATCACTGTTCTTATTTATTATTTAATCCTTTCGTATTCACGCTCAGCCGAGATGAACCGAAGTGCATATGCAGTTAACTGATGTACTGATTTTATTTTTATAGCTAACGCTAAAGCAGTGTGTATTTGTGTGTTGTTTCCCCAGAGATTTTGATTACACATAGTCTTGTAAAAGAGCAGAAGCGGAAAGCTTTGTAAATCTGCCAAATGTCAGATGGTGCAAATAGCGCTTTGCTAGCTGATTTTGCTTCAGGGAGCGAGTTGGCACGTTAGCATGGTGGTTGGAGCCATTTCCAAGTCCACCTTCTATAGTGTCACTCAGTACACCTGCTGATGTCTTACTGACTCTTATCTTTTTTTGGGGAAGCTTTCTGCCAATTTATCAGTTGAATTAGAAGACAGCGAAAAACATAAATAGCATTTTGTTTTATTAACATTATTTGCAGATGACAATCTTGTTGCAGATTTTTTTCATCTTTAAACGGATCAAAACATACTATATATATGCAGGAGAACGTTTTAAAATGCACTTCAAAATAATTTTCCCTGTGTCCTGATGCGAGTATTTGCTTCATCTCTTTCATGTGCCACTTGAAACGTAGCAGTATACTTCTGAAAAGAAAACCATGCTATGGTCTGCAATGTTCTGTCCAAGTACATAGTATTCAGTGTTCTCTTCTGTGCTAAACAAACACAAAAAATAGGCGCCATCAGAGCTCAGGGTGGAAATTCCCCCAACAAAACATTTTCCTCTTTACACGTAAAGAGTCTGAGGCTTCATTTATTACTGAAAGCATCTGCCAGGCGGGCACGTCAGATTTTGGCTTCATCTAAAGCAACTGGGATGAAAGGAGAAAGTAAATCCTGATATCTTGTTATGTCCTCCATCTGGCAATAGGTGAAAATAATCCCCCATCATGGACGGGCTGGCCCTTTTTCGTCTGTTTATCTGCTCTTCACGAAAGAATGTGTGAGGAGATGGAAGGCGAGATCAAAGAAAAGCCTGCTCTAAATATAGACCTCCTCTGCAAAATCCAGGGTCTGAATGGGGTTTGTTTAAAACACAAAAGCACATGAAAGATCCTCGTAGACAACAAGAGAGACCACCTGACCCGGCAGTCCCATTGTAGAGCATTGTCTCCTCTTTTCCTTCATAATCCTCTATACAGTAGATTGTGTTCTGGGCAGATGGGACACATGGCAGCTTTTTATGCTAGACATCAATTCAGCTCAGTTTTGAGTCATGTGGTCTCTGTTGCACCGCCATATCGTGCAATCTCTCGCTTGTTTAAGGCAGAATTTGCCATATGCAACACATTTCTATGAGTTTCTGTGCCCCCAGTTGAATGTATATTGACGCCAGTGTCAAATGTGTCTGTCTTGTCTTGAGCAATTATACCATTTAACTCTTTACATTTTACACTTTTTCTGAAGAGTCCTGGTTGTTCATGTCTGTATGATTAATGTATGAATTTATATTAAGCTTTTAAACAAGTCGTGATGCTGTATTTAGTTTTTTTTAGTCTGAATGTATTAATTAATTTAAATTAATTTAATTCTCAGTTTTTTTCTTTACTATTTAATCTGAGTTGCTTATGAATGACATGTCAGTTGATCATAAAATGTTTTTAAATCTACTGTGGCTGAGACTTCCTTTGAACCTTTTCATATTTCTAATTAGGTAATGGACCAGATTACATTTTATTAAGCCCGTTTTAAGCATTCTTGCTCAGAGTTTTTTTCTTTTTGCTGTCTCTCAAAAGATATTAATGAGCAAAAGCACTCAGAGGGGGCCCCATATGAAGCCAAGAGTCTGTCTCTGATAGTACCTGCACAAAACAGCATATGCTTTCACCCCTCCTCAGAGACAGAGACCGGAAAAGGCAGTAGATGTCTAAAGTGTCTGTCTGGAGAAACTGAATTTTAATGTGCAAAAAAAATACTCCAGGTTGTAAACGGTATATGTTTTGCATAAAAAAAAGTAAAATATTCCATCTACATCATTTGAACTTGATTAAAACAGTTTGTCTATTGAAGTATTTAATCATGTTTACTGAACATGGCTTTTGGATGTTCATTATGTCGACATTGTGCTTAATGTGCATCAGTTTGATACAAGTTCTGATGGGTTTGTGGTTGTGTGCACTTTTTTGTCCCTTGTGAATGTGGGATTTTGACCCTGCCATCTATATAAGCTTTTTCTTTTCTCTTTACAACAGCATTTCAGCCTGTTCAGATACATACAGTATGGGGGTATATTTTAGCCTGTTGAATTTTGTGGTGTTGGAAATGTTGTATGGAATGTTACAATAAAATGATATTTTTCTACAAACTGCAGCTAAAGTGGTTTGTGCCCTTTTTATGGGTATTTGATGATGTATAACAGATGCTGCACCTCTATAGCTCCAGCTGTTTGTAACCAAGTCTGTGTGATCATCAGTGTACAGTTTTTGCTGTTTTTGTTGGCCATTTTGTGCTCACACATTGTACTGGTGTTACTGGCTCATGGAACAATAATGTTCTTCAGTTTGAATATTCCAAAATAGCTTTTTTGTATACTCATTTTGACATTGAGTATTTCATTTGGGTTGTGTTTGTCTTCCAAACAGAGCGAAGACCCGAAGACCTTGGAAATAATCGTTTATTCAATGGCAGAGAGCGCATTGGTCAAGGTAAGTCTATTTATTAACCTTCATGCATAGACTGATGTATTTTAATAATAAACACAAATGGGGTCTGAAACAGAAAGTACACAAGCATGCAAATGTGGACATGAATGCCTAGCCAATGCATTATAAGCGCACAGTCCCTTCGTTATTCGGCCAGTAACAGATTTCATGACTCAGGCGATAGAGTTACCTTCAGATGTCTGTGTCATAACAGAATGTAATATTATTCATGTAGCTTGACATATACAAGAATACAGCGCACTCAGCCAGATTCACTTCAAACTTTCTAGAAAGCTATTGCCTTGCTATGACAGCAGCTGACCGAAAAGAGAAAACTACAAGAATACTATACCACCTACTATTGCACCAATCATTCTGAAACGACACTGCAAAACATTTTTTATTAATCAGTATTTTATACTTGAAAAGCAAAACTTCTTTAAGACATTAAGTCTTGTTTTCAGGGTACTTGCATTCAATGACTATTCAATAATTCAATGACTGAAAAACATTTTATTAGAGTACAATATAAAATTTATTGTTTTGTCTCCTGTTTCCAGGTTTCCCGTTCCCTGCCTGGACCACACCCAACCCCTCACGAGAACCTCCAGTGACACGGATCTCAGAGAAAGACAACGCCTGGCTGTACACCCTTGATCCCATCCTGGTCACCATCATCGTCATGAGTTCCCTGGGCGTTCTGTTGGGAGCGGTTTGCGCCGGGCTCCTACTCTACTGCACATGCTCCTACAATGGCCTGTCATCCCGCAGCACCACCACGCTGGAAAACTACAACTTCGAGCTGTACGACGACATCAAGCACAAGGTGAAGATCAACCAGCAGCGCTGCTGCTCCGAGGCCTGATGGCAGCCGATCGGGAGAGGCGCTCTGTCCGCTTGTGAACTGGTGCCGGCCTGATCCAAAACTGAATGGACCTCACGCTGCTAATATAGGGCTGATCTCTGACCAGGATTATTGAAGGATCACTGGGAGCATAGAGGCTTCCTGTGGACAGCTCAATGGGAATGAATAGTGATCAACACATATCAACCTAATGACTTTCCCTCCTTCAAAAAATAAAAGAACTTTAAACAAATGTATATTGCTATAGATTTGTAAAGAAAAATGCAATCTAATAATGCTTGATGGAAGTTAGAAAAGCGAGAGAGGCACTAGGACTAGAAGACAGATTGCTTGTGAAATTTCGGCCTCCATTGTGTGAAAGCTGTGGCCTAGAATATTGTTGACATTTGCTTTAGTTTAGACTCGGGTCTTTTTGCTGACCCGCTTAAGTTCCCATTCCCGTCTTTGCCACTTTTCACAACCGTTTTGAAGTGTCAACGCCTCTTATGAAGGTTTTATACTTCAGTTCAGTCTGTTTGTAGCAGCAGGAAAGAAAACATGCTGTATTACATTCAGAAAAATCCTTTTAGATTGAAGTATTAGGATTGTCTTTTGTGTCTCTTTTTTCTCTTTTCCTTTTTTTTGTTTTTGTTTTTGACTGTTTGATTTCTCAGCATAGCGTTGAAGACTCTGTGTGGACAATTCAAACTAATTTATCGCAACCTATGGATTGCTAAGAATTCAGAGCCACTGAAGTAACAAAGACTCAAGCTGGCAGAGCGACTTTGGTGAAGGAGCTGAAAAATCCCCAAGCCACTTTCATGTACAAACAATCAAGCCTTAAGCAAACTGTTTTGGAGGAGAGCCATTTTGAAACACCAGTCCTTGGGTTTGAAGCCACTGGGGCCTCGGAGGAGTCAGGCCTTACACTTGCTTTCTTTCATTTCACCTGTCTGTTTACTCCATAGTTTATTTTGGGCTGTTGAAAATGAAGGCTAACAAGACCAGGTTTGGTGCAAGCCTGAGAGAAGGGTGAGAATTTCACAGAACGTTTCACCTCAAGGTGAAGAGAGCGATAGAACGAGTACACACATGGGGGAAGTGTGTGTACATTTCTTTATTGTACCTCAGACTGGCCTCTCGCTCCCCAGAGCCACACTGGGAGTTCTGTTGACTTGTGGGTAAGCGAGGGGGGTTGAGGGGCTCGTCTTATTAAGGAGTGCGGAAAGCAGCCGGAGACACGGATTGTTCAGTTGTTGGGGGAGAGAACGATGAAGAGGGAGAGATTGTGTGTATTCAGCTCAGTTTTCATTGGACTCTGTTAATTCCTTTCCAAGTGCCTTGGAGCTCTGGCCTGTTTTGGCTTTGCTGCAGAGCTGTGATAGTATTACCTCGTCTGTCTGGGACAGGCGGCCAACACCAAAAGACATGGAGATCCCGGCACTGGTCAGAACATTCAAAAATTGTTGTTTGTAGACTTTGTACAGAAAAAAAATGCTTTTTTATTGTTATTATTATTATTTAATAAAGTATGATTAACGATACTTTTGACTGGTGTGAACATTTTTTAATTTTTTAATTTTAAAATTTTAAAAAGTCTATCTATCTACTCAGTGAAGTGATTGATGCCCATGAGTATTATGCCGATATTTTTAGTTCCAATATTCTAGCTGACAACCAGCCTACATTTTTGACATCAACATGATTTTTGGGTAATTATGAAACATGCTGGAGATGATAAAAATACTTTTTGCATAATTCATTTTACTTATTTTACGGAATGAATTTTATTTTGTGCCTTAAATACATGCTACTCAGATATTTTTTTTTATTATTTACCAAGAAAGGAGTTGTTTTGATGCACAAAGTTGTTTTTTATTGTCTCTTATTTAAAAAAATCTTTCATTTAAACCCATGAAAATGCAGAACCTGTTGTAAATAGTTGTGAAAAATCAAAATAACTTTTTAAAACTGCTGTTCCACTATTAGCCCTTTAATTATGAAACATGCTGGAGATGATAAAAATACTTTTTGCATAATTCATTTTACTTATTTTACGGAATTAATTTTATTTTGTGCCTTAAATACATGCTACTCAGATATTTTTTTTTATTATTTACCAAGAAAGGAGTTGTTTTGATGCACAAAGTAGTTTTTTATTGTCTCTTATTTTAAAAAATCTTTCATTTAAACCCATGAAAATGCAGAACCTGTTGTAAATAGTTGTGAAAAATCAAAATAACTTTTTAAAACTGCTGTTCCACTATTAGCCCTTAGCAGTGTAGCGAATTTTAGCTAAACGACAGGAAATATGAATAATTAACCATAACTAGTTATAATTAACTATTCATATTTTAGATCCGCTGTAGATATTTAGCTGACCACTCAGGGTCAACTGTCTTGTCAATTCTAAGAACGTTAATTTCCTGGTTAAGGGAAATAACTTCTTACTGTACAATTCTACCAAGCTTGTAACGTAAATCTGCATGATTAGTGACTCCGGTTATGAGCAAACAATGAACACGTCAAGTGTGATACAAGTAAGGTTTTATTAACTACATATCTATCTATCTATCTATCTATCTATCTATCTATCTATCTATCTATCTATCTATCTATCTATCTATCTATCTGTCATCCATCCGTCTGTCTGTCCATTTGTCTGTTTGTGTACACATTCCATTCCACTTTACTGAGTTCCACTGCACATCGATCCTGTAGGAAAATCTCAAACATTGGTGGGGTAAATTTCACATCAAGTCCATTTCAGTCCCATTTAAGTTCAGCTCATCTCAGACAATCCATTTAAATCGGTTTGCAGTCTTAATTCAGCATCGCAACCTCGCTGTGCAGATGTGTTGAAGGGAGGCAGACGAGAGGTGAGCGCCACTGTCTCCAAAACACTGTCAGTTTATAGACAGCCCTTCAGACTAGACCACACACAATTCAACCGAACACATAACCTCCATACATGGACAGACGTTCAGAAGAAAAATATATCATTAAGTATATCATGTGATCTTGTATTTCACTTTAACACATAAATATAGAAAATAATGAACACAGAGAAACAGCATCACACCACATGAATAAGATATTCAGCTGTGCATACATTCAAAACTCTCATTTTAGAGCGGCTTGCTGTGCATCACGGCGCAGCAGTGGTCTCTGTCTCCGTCAAAACCCAGATCCCTGCAGATACAAGGGCACATTTGTTTGTTTCCTGTTTGATGTTGACTTGACTAATGATCCATGTGCATAATTATTTTGTTCTGGATCCTGACAGCCCCCGACCAAATAATATCATGAAGCGTCAGTTATGTGGCTCATTCAGGAATGTGCTGTCATGTGGATGCCTGCTATTTTCCCTCATTAACAGCGACGTCACGTTCGAGAAATGCAATTCACCATCCATTAAGGAGGAGTGAGGGGCACAGAACGGAGCAAGAGAATTTGTCAGTGATCAGGGCTGAAGCCTTTGCTGACTCAGTCTTGTGGTTTCTCTGATAATAGTTGAGAAGGCCTTGAATTGGACTCCCAAGCGCTAGTGTTACTGGGTGAGATTGTTTCCCTCTGCTATTTTTTGTGTCTTTCTAGAAACCTAAGATGTCTTGGGCCGAAACTCTCACATTGGGCTCTGTATAAACAACCTTGCTAAGGTCAATGAAATACATTAAAAATGTAATTGTTCAACAAAACTGCAAAAGATAGAATAAATGATCTATAGTTGATCTGATTCGTAGTTGCTCTGGGCACTGCAGGCAACATTTCACATTAATTAAAAACCCTTCTGGGTTATGTTGTGTGTATATATCTGACTGTGATTTTTTTTAAATGAATTTGCTGATTTATAAATTTTTTTGCCATATTCGCAACTCTTGTTAATGTCTTGTTCCTGGCCCTTGAATTGCATCTAATATTAAGGATCAATATACTCTCAACAAGACTAAACATTTTTGCTCTCATAAAGCTGCTTATCTTTCATAATAGTTACAAGCATTGCATTGCTTCCTTGCCAAAAGTAAAGTTCCAGAGTGAAGCTCTCACGAGTTGCACAGAAGCTGCTGATGGGAATAAATGTTTTACTACAGGCAGACCGGAGATCTGTAGAGAGCTGTCAGGAGCGTTTGAATCATATTCAAACATCTTCCCAGTGGCAGATGGCTGGAGATGGC